GAACAGCACCATACCAACGTGTATATCAATTAACCATATTCGTAAAATCATAAAATGTACGCATTTGAACTTAAATAAGCGATACACTTAAATCTCATATCGACAAAATTTCAAACATATAGTGTTTTACTAGTCCTAATAAAATGTAAATAAAATCAGTGCTGTTTTCAAATGGATTGCAGCAGACATTTCTACAATAATTGACCCGCTGATTACGAATATTTGGATGCATTTTGACCTAAAACAATATGCATACAAGTGAGCTGGCATGCTATTTGCAAAAGATGAATGTAGAAGTAACTGCTGTTTAAAGCTAATTTCTAAAATACCGCATCGAGATGCTTAAAGTGCTATAGAAATGATCATGTTATTTTGACTAAATTAAAAAAGATCATTCAGTAATTAGCACTGCCAAACGCAGTGACTCCTGGTCGATTTGTATAATTAATAAATATATTTCAATACTACAATATGGAACGATACTCACCTTTGTACCCGCTTTTATATACCGTGTCTTTCAAGTAATAGATTTCGTCACTATTAATCACATCATGAACCAAGTTGCTGAAACCGAATTCACTTGCCAGAAGATACTTTAGATGTAACGACTCAACTTGTTCAATCATATATTTAATGTTCTTCAACTGAGAGGCATTCAGTGCTTGTAATAGTTGGCATTTTCTGACGATATCCTGTAGTAGTTCATCAGTAACACCTATCGTTTCCGCAAACTCGTTAAAATATGTTATGTTATCATTTTTTATAACTTGTTCGTATAGGATTCGCTGCCATACAGGAAATACATTGTATGCTTGGGCAAGTATATTGGATTGATGAAAACTAAAAATGAAACACAGCGTATTAAAATACACGAAAGTGTTCCGTTATTGAAAAATGTACGAAAATAAACTGCCACTAAAATCATAAAATTGTTAGATTCGATATTAAACAGTTTAATTTGGAAGTTTTACTGTCGTTCACTCAGGTGAGTCAATATGCGATCCAACGCTCCGCGTCTCCAGTTTAGTCTTCAATCCCCAGTGCAAATGTAATTTAATGTCCGCATAGTGCTTAAATTTTGAAAAATTGAGGAATATATTCTATCCTTGATTGTAGATTAATAAAAATCCTACCACAAGTTATAAGCGCTAAACGCAAATTGGAAAAGTAAACGAGGACCTAAATTAAATAAGTAAGCGATTTTATACATACCTGAGTCTTGTGCACATCAATTTAGTAATTTTCTTGGTGGTTAAATTCAATATGGCAGGAACTTCCTCATTATCTTGAACGGAGTTGAAAAGAGATTTTTGTAGAGCTATCAGCTCAGCTTGACGAGCGGCATTCATTGCGCTGGATAGTTTTTCGCCTTGAACATGAAACTCAGCAGCTTGAATGTATTTATTCATTGCCTAAAAATCAATACAAAATGTGGAGAACTAAATTTATCAAATCCGTTTTTGTAAAATATGTATATTACCTTGTTCAAGAGGAAATCTGTGTCAGGCGCTTTGATCAAATAAATGAATTCCATCGGATCAGCCGCATTCGGATTATCGTTCATTATTTCCGACACAAGCAACAAATTTTTGATATGTCCCTGAGCTTCTCTTTCCCAAAGAGCTGCTACATCCGAGTATAGGTTGAAATGTATTGCAACCAATTTGTACAATTCCATATCCTGTAGGCAAGTTTTCTTCAGGTATTCGATACATGCTAATTTGAGTCTTTCATCCCGTTTAGAACCTTTACTAAGCAAAAACTCGAACTGATCATTCCGTTTCAGTTCATAGAACACATACTTAAGTTCCGTATATCTTCCTACACCTAAAAGTTCGTTTTCTATCATTAGTTGAGCAAAGAAAAAATGCGAAAAAATAAACACCAGGGCAGAAAAAAGTAACAAAATCGGTCAAGTGTTAATAAATTACTCAATATCTATTATTATTGATCTATATGGACTTTTCTGTATTGATATTGGTACCTGTCAGTAGTCGCACAATAAGTTTCCAGCTTCTAACTTGCAATAAATTATCGATTACATTTCGGCATTTTTTTAAAATACTCGAAATCCCTTCCATGTTACAATCCACGGTAAAACAACTATGTGCAGCAATCAGCAATTCAACTACTAGTGCCATTTCACTTATCTTGAAATTTACATCGGCAAACATCTAATGGAAAATTGCAGATTTTTAATTTTTTTTTAACATTCGGCGGTTTGCACTGCAAATTACCAAACAGAAATAAGAATGGCGCTTTACCTGTTTTTTATGAAGTTCAGTGGCGTGGTTGTAAAACTTGTTTCCCAAAGTAGAGCACTCGTCTCGAATTAGGTTCAAAATTAAGTGAAATTGATCAACAACGTTAATTCCCCACATTGTAAAAACTTCTATTTTGGATTGGGAATATTTGGTAGCAGCCGCCACAAACCTATCGCATATCAAGTCTGTCATCTGCAGAACCAAATACACTTTAAAGCGCTCTAATTTCAACAAATCCGTTTCAACTTACCTGTTCTTTTGACCAATTAAATACCTCAAAACAGTCATGAACGACTTCTATGGTGTTAAAAGAACCGTCCTGTAATGCCATTTTTAACATTACCATAGGATCGACATTGGAAACGACGACATTATATGGCAATTCAATATTGTAACTGATTCTATACTTCATAAAAATATAATAAGCCAATTCTGATCCATGATGTAGTTTCTCGATGAGACAGTGAATTAGGCCTTGGGTAGCTAGAATAGGCTCTTCTTGTTTATTCTCTTCTTCTTCGATTAGTTCCAGATAATTTACATCTGAACATAAATAACAAGGTGAAGTTSCAGTTAAAACAATCAAAACAAATTTAATGTTAAATATGATTTGYGYAAAAAAATATTCAAAGATTTTCTAGAGATGTGTAAGTTGCACTCTATAGCAAGCAATCTGTAGCAATTTTAGAAAGACACGAAGAATGCATAGCAGACAACGTGAATGGTGAATACACTTGAATAAAATAATGAAAGAAATAAAACTGCGTGTATTYAAATTAAAGTGAAAAATTTCCAGATTATTTTAAATTTTTTAAATAACCGCATGTTAACGCAATAACCAAATAAGATGTTTGGCAAGTCGATTCAATTCTTACAGAAAATAATTTGTATACATTAATTTCCTTAATATATCCAAAAACACTAAATTTTCAATCTAAAAAGTGGTAACCGTGAAACAAAGAAACACGTCTTAATCATATTGCTAGTTTGTTTTACGATCAAATTCCTTGCTCAGATTCTACAGTGGTATGGGCCGACCATAAAAATTCAAAAAATTCAAAATKCAAATAAAAAGTCATTCAATAAAGAAAGTGTTCACGCAATACTAGGAAATATTTACACTAATTTTAATTAATAACATAAATTTAAAAAAGAGTGTTACTTAGAAAATTTGGCAGTATCTATTTTATTATACCAGTAAAGTTTGTATGAAACGAATTATTCGACGTACACAGTGAAATCGCTGAAAACAAAAACTTAAATTACAGCTTATAAAGAAAAAACTACTTGTTCACATGGTGAATAGTTTCATTATTTACAATTCACAATTGAAAAAAAACAACAACAGGATGCCCGAACGCATCAAAAAAAGAAGCAAATGCAATATGTACCAGTAAACAGCAACTAAATTAGACACCAGATACTAATTTAGTGTGAATGAAATAGATCTTATGGAAATCCAAAGCTACTAAATGACGGTGTCAACTTTGCGAGTAATTATTAGATACAATTTTAAAATTATTTCACTCATTCCAAGCTAGATTTGCAAGTCTAAAATTGGAGTTTTGCGTTTATTTCGGAAATCAGAAAAATTAGGTATAGAAACGGCATTTCTTTAACGTGCTTAATCATCTATAATTCTGCAAAAAATCATCGGATTATTAAATGAAGAATTCTAGCAAGCTAAGAAACGACAAAAAAAGGGACACGTTCACAACCCTCTATTGACAATTTAATACCTGCCGTTTTCTATTTCCCAATTTCAATTATTTCGCAGTCAAGTCGACACAAAAAATATAAGTTCTAAAATTCTAGAATAGAGTTCAAAATAAGCATTTGATATTATATTATATCGCAAAAATGTTTCAATTTGGTGTAGATTTGCAGACCGGTAAAATAAACAAAGTTTTATTTCAAACATCAGGGTTACGCCTGTTTTTTTGTACAATCAGCCACTTTGTATTTTAAGCAATAAATATATCAAAGTGCATTTAGTTTGAAAGTATAATGGCAATATTTAAATAAAGAAGGTTTTTACCTGCAGAAAAGCTGTTGCTTATATAGGCACTCCTCCTCCTCCTTATACGCTGTATTTCCTTAACTCGGGCAATAATATGCTGTTGGTCCTCGTTAAGCTGATAAGGCATTAACATTCCTTCAGCTAGTTCATGACAGAGTTTCAGAATCTCCATGTCACTGTTCTTGCAGCCGAACATTTTCTCCAACTTTAACGCCAACCAAAAATCTCTTTGGCCTAGTGCCTGAATGAAAATAGCATCAAGAATTCTCATTTGCTCAGGAGTGACCACAATGTCGAGCGGCTTGATTTTGTCTAGTAAATCTAGCATATCGCTATATGTTGTGAAGTCCTTGCGTACACTTCCGTCATTTAATTCGTCAATACTGATCGGTGTGTCCAGTTTGGTGTAGGAGGATATTTTTTTCTGCTCTAATTCATATTTGTTAGGCAACTCGTGGGTTACCGCCCATTTGTGACTTAGTTTCAGTAAGCAATATTGTTGAAATTCATTTGCGCTGTTTCTCTCTATCAAAAAGGCGACCACTTGTTGTGGGGACACGTTGTGAGCTTGAAAATCTTTGTCGCATTCCAATAAATCACCCTCAAAGTCGGTTGAGCATTCAAGCCTTTTCTCCCATTTACTTAGTAAGATTCTATCAGTATTGATATTGGAGCATATTGCAATTGTTACTGCATCACTATATAAATTTAACTCGATCAGCTCATTGATGCAATTCTTCACAGCATCATCTTCTTGGTTTACGTTTAAAAAACCAATCAGATCCAAATGCACACCCGTATCAAACATGATTTTCAAAATCACTGCCAAACTCTTGAAATTCGGTATTGGGCAAGTAAAGTATGTGTCCATGTTCACTAGACATAGCGCTTCCACGAACTGCAGCCGATCAAACAGCGAATTTGTGTTGTAAACGAGTGCAGAACATAAGAGCTGAAGCGCTGTTTCTTCCAGCCATACTTTGTTTCTCATGTAAGTCAATTCATAATCGGTTTGGCTTAGTGTACTGGGACGCCTACTGGTCTTCAACTTATTGAATTTGCTCAGTTTTGCCGCAAGACATTCAATTTCATAGTCTCTAAATATTAGACGATTTAGAAAATCGCAAAACGACGTTAACGGATTTTCCTGCAAAAAAAATAAACACCAGAATGAGATATGGCTTACTTTGAAGGTTTTCACGGTATGCATCTACTTACGGGTATAAAAATAATGCAACTTTGCAGCAATGTTTTCGGAAACTGGTGTGTCATACAGCTATTTAGCAGGGAAGTAACCTGGTGACTAGAAGACGACATTAGGTCGAAATTTGAGAAAGCCTCGTACAATTCAGTAGACACAGCCAACCAGGTTAACCAATTGGTTATCACAGAATCCGGCTAAAAATTAATTAGGTTAATCAGCCCTATATTATTTTCCACTGTATATTTCCATCGTTCATATTTCTATATTTATTTTTTGGAAATATACTAGTTTTTTCTATAGGGTGGCTCTGGGGCTATCAAACAAGGCGATCAGGAGCACTTTGAAATGTGCTAAAACGGTCATGAATAAACTTTTTTAGTGACGAACTGGTAGAAAATTGGACAAATCTCTAAACCTGATTAACAGCTTTTATCGCCCAAATCTTCAAAGTCAAAGAGAAAGTTGAGGCGGTTTGATATGATTTAACGAACTTATTTGCCTAGTAAAACTAGCTAAGCTAGGTCTTTGCGCTGTATTAAATAAAACACTCAATATTTTTCTCAATCGAGTTTCGAAATTGTCAGTTTTTTAGTAATAACACGAAAAGAAAATGATCAAAAATTAGTCATGAGAGGCTCTACAAAAATGTTGACTGGTTCGTTCATACATAACATTTTCCCAGATTAGTTTTAAAATCTAATTCTTCCAAACTCTGGAATTTCCAATACAACTAAATCGGAAATACAGTTTTAGACGCATTTTATCAAAAAGTTTATTATCTCTGGTAATTATTTGCTAAATAATTATCATGATTCTGATAAGACTTCAGGACGATCAATCGAATAATCTCTAATGACTACTAAGAAATGTATTAGGATCTCTTTTCAATCATTTTCGCAATAGGAGCTCCTAAATTTGTCTCGTTTTTCCTTCTCTTTGGATATTAAGAATTGCTTTTACTTAAACATAGTGAACAATAGTCCTCGTGAAGGAATATCAGAAAAGTGTTAACGACTGATTTAATTTTCCAACAATACAATGCTCACTTTGGCTTCTATTTTTCAGTTAATCATTTCTGGAAAAAACCTAAGTTACGAAGGATACTTCTAGCGAGCTAACGAAAAGCTCATTAGGACTGACCAGATATTTTCTATCATTTTGGAGTTAAGCCGTTTTCAAAGTTCAAGACTTAAAAGAGAGAGAATCTGAAGATAAAATTTATCTACAAGTACTCGTAATTGAAAATAACACAACTTAAAACATGTCGCTACTTGATATATAATTTTTATATTCGCTTAGTCTTTTTATTCAAATGCAATGAAACTTAATACATTTTTTAAATAAGCGTTTCTTGCTCTATTAAAAATTATACTTTAAGGCTGAGAAAGTTGTTCATTAAAATAATAAATTATTTAAAATAGTATTAACAAATAAAAGTAACAATAAAAAAGACAAGACGAGATATAGCTGTCTAGCTACCAGCCATTGTGAAATCGACATTTAACAATTATTTTCTAGAACCGATATTTAAGAAAATAAAGAAGCGGTGACAATAAAATGAAAAATTACACACAATTTAAAGGCACTAATTAGCCTACAGCGAGTGTAGAAAAATACTTAAAAAAGCAATCACAGATAAAAAACAAGTATCATTGATTTTAGAAAAAAGTTAACTTCATGATTTTAGAAAACTCTAGAAAGAGAATCACTCTGGTATATTGATTAAAAGTGCATGTAGATTTTAAATAAATTCATATTATAACTGTTTTTTATAATCACAAAACCACTGATTAAAAATACTCAGCAAAAGTAAAATAGCGACATAAACACAACTTCCTCTAAATACTCACCTCATAACTAGAAGCAAAAATGGCCAGTAACGGATTTCGATAAAGTTGGCTTGCTTGTAAAAGTGCTCTGGGTGGATCAGCACTATTATGACACCTGATCAAGATCTGAAGCAGAGTAACTTTCGTGTTCGAAGGATCGATTTCCAAAAATTCTGAGTTACTGCTCGAGTTGCCTTCCATACTTCCACTTAACAACAACTTCGAGTCACTTCCCTCGTCCATGCTCTTAGGCACTAATTTCGATAAGGGATACTTTCGAGAATCTCTGTCTTTCATCAAAATGTTGGAATCATCAATTTGGATATCATGTAAAACGCTGTGGACTATGTGCTCGAGTAGGTTCGGGTTCTTAAAATGGGAACAAAGTTCCTTGATCTGATCAATAGGGTAGTTTTTTAATTGGGCAAACAGTAGAAATGGAAACCATAAGTTGCGTTGTGCCAGATTTTTCAGCAAACCATTCGGCAAAGGTGTGTCAGACAAATCACTAAAATTCACTACTACATCATATTGTTTAACAGCTCTAACAAACTCTTCTCCTGAGGACATCATGTTGGTGAAATTTACGGATTTCAGCAGGTTATTTTCCAAAAGTTTCAGAATTTTACTTCGGTGTTGTTCCGCGCTTATAAATAATGAGATCACATTATCTTGGTCCATGCCTGATTCGAATAATATATTCGCTGCCTTAATACTGACTCGTATACATTGGGAACTGGCTCCAATCATTCCCAGGAAACAAATACAACTAGTGACCAAGGGTAGATTTTGAAAATTTTTCATAGCGATTTTATAGACTTTCTGTTGAGTCATTACTTTCGCTTCATCGTCATGACCAAATTGCTGATTAAACAGCTGGCTTGCAATGCTAGGACGACAATGCTTCAAATAAAAGCTACACGTGACTTTTTTGGAATAAACAGAGCCTGGCCTAGGCGCGGATGAACTGAAAGTTGGCAACGGACTGTGATCAAAGTAAAACGCAAACACTTTCTTAACTTCAATACCCAATTTCTTCTCTAGCAAGTCCATATAAGTGAGATTGCATTTAACTCCTCTGTGGCGAACATATAAGTCAGAGAGCATTCGGAATTGTCCCATAGCATTCGACAAACAATCGTAAAGTTGAATATTATGAAAAACTAAAGATTTCTCCTGCATCGAATTTATGAAAGTTGTGCCATCAGAAAAAAATAATAATAAAGCGAACACTATCATCGGATTATCACATAAGAACTTATTAAGGTCTTTGCTCAGATATTTAGATACTTTAAAAATGTTGATACCCAAATGTTCCTCGTCCAAATTCGAAATTAGCTCAATAAAGTTGACAATCAAATCCAGATGAGCGCATGTACTCAAACTATCGGAAAACGATAAATCAAGGTTAGCAGCGCAAGCATTCAAGACAACTAATAGGTCGTTATTTAAGCAATGATCAATAAGCATGAACGTGAACTCAGTTAATGATAAATTGGAGTACGGTTGTTCTAAAATTTGGTAGATATTTATAAGACTATCAGCAGAATTAACTCTCGATAAAACTTTGAGAAACTCCATCCTTTCCGAGTCAATAAAACGCCCAAATAAAACCAATTCATTCAATATTTCTTCGTATCGATTGCTTGGAGAAATTAAGTCCGAAAGATAGTCAATCATATCGTCGGTAATCTCAAATGATTTTAATACTAATAAGAAGGGTTCGGGAATGTTAGAGATCTTGGTATGTGACGAGTAAGCAAGTTGAATCCATGCTATTAAATAGTCGAGCTCCTTGGTTTTCAGTAGGTACTCCCATAGTACATCGGCCTTAATAAGCGGGATAAGTCGAGCATCTAGAAGTCAAAAATGCACATTTTGATTAAAACGGAAAACTATACTGAACTATAGGATCTAAACTAACTAACATAGCTTTCAATATATTTTTCGTAAAATTCCTTGGAATAACAGCAACATTATAATTAAATTATCTAAAAAATAACTATCTAAATCATATTTTATACTTTTATCTTGAACTGTTTAAACAGTTGCAAAAAAGCAAATACTCAACAATTATAAACTGTGTCGTTCTTAATCGTTGTAAACTTTGATAATAACGTGAACATTCATTATTATTCATTATATAGTTGTTGGGTTTGCAACAGCAATTTAAATAAAAGATAATTAGGGCATCGAATACACATAAATACTTGAAGCAAATACATAAAATGCTCACACACCTTGAGTCGCCATGAACAATCTAACAGCAGTTTGATCCTTCCAGTCTTGAGATACTTTATCCAACACCTCAATACTATCATATAACAAACTATATTGCTGACTCAATACTTTATTATCCAGGACAACATCCAGAAATGTCCAAAGCCTTTTATAATTGCTCGACAATTCATTTTTGTCGCTCAGATGATTTCCTATATATTGTCGCCTATCTGAGTCGGTTGTTTCATAAAACATTCGTTGCAGTTCGCGAAACGGATCTAAACCGATGTGTTTTAAAATAATTGTAACTCGAGATATAAGTTTTCTATCTAGTAGTTCATCCACCCATATAAGAACCTATAAAATAAAAAACTTATGTTTTATATAGTTAAAGTAGGCGGGTTCTGAGCCTTGATATTATTATTTTCGTGTTTGAATGGAAGCAAATAAATTTGTACTACTCTTACATTAAACTTCCACTTATCAAACTGTAGAGACAGAGCAAAAGTATCGAAAAAAAATTAACAAAAAGAATCCCGCGCCATCGATTGGCAACTCGGTACACCAGTAGTAAATATTCTTGAGGCAGATCACATGAAAGATGATGTTGCATCAAGTACCTACCCAAATAATTCAGTAGGTATTTTTTTGTTATTATTTATCATAGTATTTGCCAGTTCAACATTTTCAAGAATGGAAAATTTACTCAGTTAATTTACCTCAGTGTTGATGAAATTTTTGACGATATCTTCGTCAAGGTTTCTCCGGAGATGTATAAATTGAACAGCGAGTTCTACATGTCCTTTTGAGGCAGCTTCTCGCACTACTTCTCGATCTTTTTTATATGTCCATGCTATCCAAAGACCGGCACGTTCTTTGGGAATGTTTTGAGGAATAGGTGGTTTTACAATTTGCTGTAAAACAAGAAAAACTACATGTCGACTATCTAGAAAGAAAACTATAAGTGACTGTTAAAGACCCCTGAAGATTTATCAAAAGCCGAAAAAGTGTGAGGTTTTCGCGACCATTTCTTAAACCTGGTCAGTTTTTTGGGCTTTAGACTTAATTCTTCCTTGATTGCCATCCGTCTTGATAGGCGATTCGCTCGAAAGCCTACTCCAGTATGAGCGTGCGAAACACTTTTGCGAGTCGTGCTTGTAAATGGTCAATCAATCAAAATTAACAAAAAATATCCAGTTTCGGATTTTAGGTCATCACCAAACCATCACCGCTTAAAAATAACCAGAATTATTTGTTTGGCGGTATTTTGTTCAAAAGTACGATTTTTTCGCATTTGATTTCGCTTAGTTTTGTTAAAGATTTTCTGTTGTTCCTAAATTACCCTAATAAATATCTCTATTTTCGGTTTAATGATGATGTACAAACAGAATTTTAACTAAATTGCCTCGAATTTCAAATAAAATTATTATTTTATATATTTTACTTTACAGTTTAATCGATATTAGGTAAGTTATCGCCAAGAAATCAAACATTTCCCGAAATACGAAAAATTAAAACAAAAATTATCTCATCTTCCTAGCGTGAAATAGTATTCGTTAATTATCTAAGAAAACATTTTAAGCCTCAAAGATTGATTTTATCATTGCTTATAATTATGAAACAATGCTAATCATTTTTTCAGTAATGACTAATCTTGTTATGGACATTAATTTACGATCGTTTCTCGTAATTAGTAGACATTATTTGTATTCTTTAGCTGATTGAAATATTAACTGTTACAGTTAAGAATATCACATACATTTTGTGAAATATCTATAAAGCGAAGTAGAAGTGGATACACAGAGTGATAAAGTTACATCATACACAACAAAGTTCATTAGCTTCCACAAAATTACTCCAGTTAAATTTGCAGAAATTATAGGCGTTCTAAACGAAAATAGGATTATACTACCCTATAGCGTAGCGAAGATAGATTTAAGATATCAACAATTCTAGAGTTTATTATCCAGGGTGTTCTGTAAACACATGGACAAAAATATACTGGGACTTTTTTGGCTTATACAAAGAACCTCTGACCTACTTTTTATTTAAAAAAATGTCAGACCCTTGATGCTCAAAATTTTGGTGAGGATTCGTTTCTAAGTAAGACTCCGTTTTGATCAAGTAACCGCGTGGATCTTTTCTGAGCAATTAATAACTTTTTGCTCGTTTTATTAAAAATTGTTTTATTGCAGAATTAATAAAACAAATTCTTATGCTTTTAATAAACTAGTAGACCACCAAAGCATTGGAAATGCATATCTAATATTCTTATTTTGGTAATACATATATAATTTTTAATTTTTTTTCTTTTGATGACTTGTGTTTATTTACACTAAGTGTCGCAGATGAACAGGTAGTACTTGCAAGGAATGTCTATGCTTCAAATGTTATAACAACTAGAGGTTAAAAATCAACACCTTCAAAACAGAATATAAGGTAATAAATTCCAGTGCTCATTTTCGTATCTTTGTAGGGGACACTGAAACTTTTAAACATGTCGATCAGTTCAAGTACCTTGGGGTACGTATTATTATACGTAATAATGAGGGACTAAGAGAAACAGAAATTAAAAATCATATTGAACAGAGTCGTAAAGTTATTGGTTGCTTAAATTCAGTTTGATGGAACAGAAACATTTCACGATAGGTGAAAAAGCATATAGAAAGGACAATGCGGAATGCGGAAAAGAAACAAAAATTAATACCGTAGAAATGCTGCGCAGTGAAGAATTATCAATATGAACATAAGACAAAGAGCAGACCCATAGAAACAGTTCTGGAAGGGAGAGGATTAAAATGGGCATACAATGAGGATGGACAAACAAAGATTACCCCTAAATATCTTTAAATGGAACCCACCAGAACGGAGAAAGATCCAGAACATGATGCAACGAGGGCATGAAAGAAGCAATGGAAGCCCGTGTTTTAGATCATGAAGACGCCACAGATAGAAACCGATAGATATTGGGAACGGGAACAACATACATAATATAATGTTTAAAACTAATTATTTGTAACACGTAATTCGTGAGGTTTAAATTTTAATTTAATTTTAAGAAATGGTACATCTACAATATTAGGTACCTGGCTCTTTTTCAATGTGTCTGATTTGGAATCACTTGGAGGAGCTTTGCTAGAAACATTTTCACTGGAGCTCTTTTCTAGGCTTTTCGTGAGATCACTTTGGTTACAATAACTCTTTGAAATATATCTATGATACTTAATGTTATGCATTTTATTTGCATGACACTCAACCCGACTAGCTGTACGATATTAATGTGGGTCTGATAAATTTCGAACTGATCGAATCACAAAAGCTTAAAAGATTAGTTTTTATCTAATGTAAATAGCTAATGCATATGATGTGTACCTTATTAAATTGCCTTGGTTCCATATCAGTAATTGATTGCCTTTGTATCTCGCTGTGGCATACGAATCATAATTATACTTAACAAATTAACAATAAAATCCGAACAATAACAAAAAAAAGGAAACAGGAATTTCAACGTAAACATAAACAAAAAACATCTGCGTTCTGCCATAATATGACCCAGATTCTATGCGCAAATTCCACTAAGCCACAGAATATGCAGCTATATTTTGTGAATGTGTGCCCAAAGAGACAGTCAACAATTCCAGCGTTGCCAGTCAATTCAAAATTAGTATTTTCATTTATTTATTGGAATCTTTCCGTAAAAATACTTTTTTGACTCATGAAATTTATAGCTTCAGATCGTTGGATATTTAAAATAATATAAGCACATTCAGTACGCTTGCAATATGACCACAAATTACTATTTGGTAATGTTATACAAACTCCTTAATCTTGTGGCTTTATGTGCCGTAAAATCCAGTGCCATGGGATACCACTATCAGAACGATTTCCTAATTTTGACTTGCCTTGAGTTTTGAGGCATCCAGTAGTAAACTTTACTTAAAACTCACACAAAACTGGAGTTTCAACAACATTGTACAGGAAAATTTTGGAAGTAATATAGCTATCTTGGTCGCGTCCAAGCAAACGACAAAGATGCAACACTCTGACGTAACCGTCAACAATTGAGCAAATTCCCAAAACAAGTAAACGTCAATTGTTAGTCTTCAGGAGTGGTGTACATCAATAAATAAAATTTTCTCTATGAATTTATCGCTAATTTCGAATATCGGGAACAAATTGAGTACATAACCGATGGCTGGGGAGGCGAGCTATAAGAAAAAAGGAAAGCTATCTCGTCAGGAATCGAATAAGTCCTCGAAGGACCCGGAAATCGAAGTCGACAAATTCGCAGTTGGGGGCAGCAATAACCAAAATAAGTCTAGAAGTGGAAGCAGAGTCTACAAAATTGTTGTATTGGGTGATGGGGGTGTTGGAAAATCAGGTATATATTATTCATAATCGACCATATCAAACAGCTTGTACTAGATTGTTTACACTCGGCCAAGTAAGCCCCAGTTATCAAAAGGGCCAGGATGTAGTAGTTTGGTCATTTTTTTACGTTCAAGCAACAAACAATTAGCTATATTTGCTATAATAGCAGAAAAATGGAAGAAGGAAAGCCAGAAAAGATTTAGTTATAAGTACTTTCGTTGTTCCTAGGTAGGCACTTGCTTTAAGCTTTATAGAACAAGCAATGAGTTAGTTTCTGGCAAAAAAAACCAGTTGGATAAGTTAATTTTTGCCTAAACACCTTATGACAACAACCAATATTAATTTGAATACTTTAGTTTCAGATAGTTGAGCTTAATGTTTTCGCATTCCCAGCTGTAAATGTGAATTGCGAAAGACAATTTACTCAAAAATCAGTTAGAGAATGTGAATCATGTGATAAAAGTTAAATTTAGTATAAACTAAACTTGTGAACAGTTCAAGGTACAGATAAATAATGACTCAGATTTCTTACTGAAAATCAAACCTGCTAAGCAGATGAGTGAAAGATGGATTTTATCCTTTTTGTTTGAATTCATCAATATGAGACACAACTGTTTTCCATATAGGTACAATATTTTAAAGGTAATTCAAAATTAGCTTCTAACTGTAAAATCATACGAAATTTACAAGAAAGTATAATTGAAGTAACTTAGTTCTCTAGGCTAGACGCTCTGATAAAAATCTTCATGATTTTTTAGATATTTTCAATCGTTTCCGATATGTAAACTAAAATGGTTTATTTTTCGACAAGATAGGGTCTAYTTTTTAGAGGGTAGGAATCTCGCTTGACTTCCGAGGAGGAAGAAATATATCTGGTTACGTTCTATGGAAATGTCTCAAGACTGAYCRTATATGTTTTACCGTTTCCGCAAAATAAGGTGTTTTAAATTGTTACGTTTTCTGTTTATTCTGTTTAAAAGTCGATAATTTGAATCGTTGCTGTGATACATTTTGAATTATGGCTTGTATAGTATTTTTGTTCGCAACATTAAAGAATGGTAAAGGTAATGACTAATTATGGAAAGATCGCAAAAATGATTGTTTCGATATTTTCAACCGTTTCCCAGTAATTGAGTGTTCAATAATTTATCAAATGTAATCTGTAATGTAATAATAATTTGCAGTTAATGTCTAACATTGTCAAGTGGCAAGAAAACAGACATTTTTTTTGCGCAAAAACTATGAATGCTACAAGATTTTACAAATAGCACAAAGTTGTGAATAAATGATTAGTGCATGAACCAAAAAAAAATGAGTTGATTCCATCCACCAAATGAAAAGTTCTGGTAGTTTTTGTATCACGGCACTCAAGAATTCACCACTTGTCCAAAACGGCTGAACTCGATTGTTTCATCAAAATATAAGCCTTACATAAGAACAAATTCACAGCGAGTTTTACCAAAATCCATCGTACCATTCTCCCGATATTTTAAAAAAGATAGATTTTTGAAGAACTTT